AGAAGGGGAGAAAGAATGACTTGCTGCATCCTGCACTCTGCAGGGCCTAGCCATGTGCAATGGCCAGAACAAGTCCAAGACACGTGGGAGAAAGTCTCTTACGTTCCAACTGATGTCCTTCCCGTGCATCTGCAGGAAGGTGGTCATCCACTTCCCACACGCACGCACACGCACTCCGTTGGCTTTCCGGATCGTCTCCTTGATGGCAGTCATGAAGTCAACGGTGCGTTCTAGGGGGAAGTTTCTGCACACGATCTGCAGAGAAATGAGAAGCGGGAGAGATCTCATCACTGCTCTGCTGCAGCTCTTCAAAACACAAAGCAGTCTTGAGGGCGTTCTTAGCTCAGCGGCTTGCCACTCATTCAGGCGGCAATCACAGCGCTCCTGCTGTGTGTACCCTGCTGTTGATACGGAAGGCGGTTGAGCCTTCTCTCAGCTTCTGCACCCATGGTGTTTGCTTACAAGCAAAGCCTACCTCCCAGCAGCCACAGTCACACATGCACACACACACACAGTCACATACACACACACAAACGCACATCATGGCACCAGCTCCTTGCACTGGGTGCCTGAAGGCCAGACGTAGCTCAGAGCCTCCTGCTACTTGCTGAGAAAAGCAGTCTCAGGGTGACAGCTCATTTTGGAAATGGTGTCAGAGGCTGGGAGCAGCATAGGGCCATGCAGAATTCTATGGACAGAGATCCCACCACCCCTTCTTGGGTCCACTTACTCTTGCCATTTTGGACGTGGTCTGGAGCTGAGAGGCGATGCTGCAGGCATGCAGCCCCTCACACAGGCTCCCGATGTCACCCGTCTCGATGTCTGTGTTGGTCGCTTTGGCTGGAAAGAGCACAGGGAGAAAAGGGAAGTCATGCTTCTGGAAAAAGGACCTCTTTCCACGGGGGAAAGACAGAGGACAGGATGGGGACAAGAGGAGAACCGTGCACGGTGCCTCTTCCTCCTGTCAAGAGGGCCCAGCCCGTGGGGCTCTGGTAGTGCTACGGAGGAGGGCAGAGGGCTGGAGCACGCCTGCTCCACTCACCTTGGATTCGCAGAAGGGAGCTCAGACAGGTGACGGCCAGC